TCTGCGTTCTCAAGCTATTGGCAAGAATCTGGGTTAGAAGTGGAATAGCTGGGACATGAACTGGTGACCATATGGAATACTGCCATTAACAGGTGGAGGATTAGCCTGCTATGTCCTACTGTGTTACCACACTGACCCCTGAAAATATCTTTTATAGCAGGTTCTTTGTAGTTTTATTTTTTAGTGTGCATGTATCCCTGAATATATATATATATAAATGTGTGTTCATATATATGTATGTATATATGTATATATATATTTACACACACATATATGCATATTTATTTATTTATTTGAAAGGCAGAGTTATAGAGAAGAGAGAGAGACAGAGAGAAAGAGAAATCTCCCATCTGCTGGTTTACTGCTTAAATAGCCATAATGGCTTGGGCTGGATTATGCCAAAGCTTGGGGAACTTGGATTTGATCAGGATCCTCCACAGGCATGCGATGGCTCAAGTATTTGGACCATCTCCTACTACTTTCCTAGATATGTTAGCTGTGACTTTGGTGAGAAATGCAGCAGCTGGGATCCCAGGAGTTGGCTTATCTGGCTGTGCCATGGCACTGTTTTTATAAATTAGAAAGCTGATGCTCAGAAAGTTTAAAAACTTGCCTAACATTAACCCAGCCAGCCAGTATGGCTGCAATTGGAACTTTTACTTCAGTATGTTACCTCTGCAGCCAGTGATATGTGTCACTACAATCATACCCAAAATTTATGTCAATATTTTTTGTGGACTAAAATGTTACCAGCTGAGACTGACATATGAGAATTTATAACTGATCATGTTTAGGTAGAAAAAAATGTACAGTGCTTTTTGCTAATTTTGTGGAGCATTAAACCAACATTAACCCATTTAGGAAAAACTGTTATTATTGATTCAGGTTTTTCACTGAGAAAGACATGTATCCTATTGGTGTTTACCATGTAGCCATGGTAAAGAATACCCTACTATGCTGCTGTAAATGGAACACTTTATTCATTTAGAAATTATTAAAATTTTTATTTATATTTTAAATAAAATATTTAAACTTTTTATGTAGTCTAACCCTATAAAGTAAGCTTTTATTCACAACCAGCATTGCTAATCTCCCCTAATCCTCCAGCTCATACAGCAGAAAAGGTCAATTTAAAAATTAAAAACACTATTCTGACTTATTCCCCAAAAAGGTTAATTTTCCAAGAGGCAAAACAAAAACAAAATAAATAAGTAAATTGAAACAAGGTATAAAATGTGTGAGGAATCTTCAAAACTATTGCCTATTGTTTCTCTGTTCTGAGGATATTTTTCACACCCAGGAGTACACTTACATTTCATTGATAATGTGTTACTCACTGAAGTTCTGTGTTTTGAGCTCTCACTTTTTTTTTTTTTTACCTTTTTCATGGATATAGATTTAAAGGTCTAGCCCTGCTACTCCTCTTCCTTTACAGTTCAAATCCTTTTTGCTTTGATTGCTTTCCTTCTATAAGTTAAATCACGGGAGTTAAAATGCCGAAGCTGTTGTTGAAGATGCAGTTGTTTAGACTTAGGAGATAAAGGAAAAGATTAAAAGAATGACAAGGGTAAAGTGTATGGGCTGCTGGGCATTTGCAGCAGCACAAGCATTTCCAGGCAACTGTGCAGCAGTTTGGGAGGATCATTACTCATCTGAGGAGCAAGTCTGTAGCTTTTTTCCAATGCAATGTACAAGTGCAGTCTATGTTAAACAGATTAGTCAAAAGGCCTGGTAACGGTTCCCCAGAAACCCAGGCCACATTCCACTTTTCACTGCATGAGCGGTAGTATCTTCAAAACAAACAACACTACAAAAACAACAACAACAACAACAAAACAAAGGTGTAGCCGATAGCTGACTTGTTTCCTTAGGAAAGTTAAGAGAACAAGCAGGTGTCTTAAGGGAAACTCAGGTGATACAACAATGAGAGTGCAAGAACTTTGGGAAAGGAAAAGAAATTTTGCAATAGCCTTGTGCTGCCAGCCGGTGCTCAACCTGGAAGGTGGAAACCAAGCCCAGTGACCCTGGAACCTATGTACCACAACTGAAGCAAAGCTGTTGCACCACCCGCCCCCCCCCCCCCCCCCCCCCCCGCTTCAGTCAGAGCTCAAAGAAGATGGATTGTGGCTTAGGATCAAGGAAATGGGATGTAGGACCTCCTCACATTTTTAAAGATCATACCAGACATAGCATTACATCACTTGTATCTTTAATATCTGATTCTCTAGGTCCCAAATGCCATTTAGCTACTTCCTAAGCAATAAGCACAGAATCAGAAGCTAAGAAGATAGCTGATGCTGTACCCCCAACAATCATGGGGCAAGAAAAACACAAAGCTTACGATTGCTGTGAGATCTCTTCTGATCACAAGATTGAAACTTCTCACTTCTCATCTTGTTCTTTCATCTTTGTGTTCTTCCCTTCTGACTTAGTGGAGATTTAGCTCTTTTGGATTCAGCGGTTCCTTCAGAGAAATGACCAGATGCAAATGCAGAGACTGAAATGCAGACACAGCACCAAGTTTCCATGTGCCAAAAACACTCCAAAGGAAGGAAGCCAAATGCAAATGGAGAGGACACTGCAGCAACCAGTTGTTTAAGGCAGACACCTGAAATGACCATAAATGTTTTTTTTTTTTTTTTTTTTTTTAATTGGAAAGGCGGATATACAGAGAGGAGAGACAGAGAGGAAGATCTGATGATTCACTCCCCAAGTGAGCGCAACGGCCGATATTATGCCAATCCGAAGCCAGGAGCCTCTTCCGGGTCTCCCACGCGGGTGCAGGTTCCCAAAGCTTTGGGCCGTCCTCGACTGCTTTCCCAGGCCACAGGCAGGGAGCTGGAAGGGAAGCTGGGCTGCCGGGATTAGAACCGGCGTCCATATGGGACCCCGGACGTGCAAGGCGAGGACCTTTAACCACTTGTGCCACCGTGCCGGGCCCCATAAATGTTGTTTTAATAGAGAAACTCATAGCATGATTTGCTGCCAGGTTCTGCTGGAGTACATTTTATTCATGTCTGCTATATTTTGTAGGTCCTCTACGGGCATGTTCATTGTGGACCACTGAAATGTTACTGCCTACAAGGTTATAGGCCTCCACCTTGCTCAGAGCAACTCTTCAGAGAATCTTGTGCAAATATTAGGTGAAAAAAAAATCTGAGAATGAATAAATGGTTGTTGAGACAGAACTAGGTAATTTGTTCATTGTCCAATGGGAAATGTCATGATTTGTATTAATTTTTGTAGAAAGTCGATTGAAAGATAATAACTGAGTTTGGCACTGATGGAAATACACATTGGAGTTTGGACACCTGTTCCCTCGGATTTTCATTGATAAGAAAAGGACTCGCAACATTTCTGAAGTTATCAGACCTTGTTTGCTTTAATCTCATCTTAAAAAATAAGTATTTTTCCTGATACAGTTCCTTAGGCTCAGGTGTTTCCTTCCACTCTCCCCACCTCTCTCGCTGCTACTGTTATGCTCCCCCCTCCCCTAGAAAACACTGACTGTTTTGAAAATGTTATTTTCTCCCTAATCCCCTTCTCCATGTCAAATGCTATCATCAGTAACTTTTATTTGCTGGTTTCCAGAGCATTGGAATTCAGTGCTGTTATCAACATGCCTCTGTGTGAACAACATGTATCTATTCAGATTACTCGGAGCAATTAATTGCCATACTGCACTTAAGTGCACCAGTTTTTAAAATGCATGGCACTATTCACTCACGATCCTTACCCAACCAATCTGGATCAAGGACATTTTTCAAAATATTGTCTCTCTGAAGACTCAGTTACTAATTGGAAACTAAATCGTAGGCGTATGACGTGTCGGACAGACAGCCGGTTTCCTTCGGAAAGTTTGGATTTCTGTATAAGACACCCGGGTTTTTCAGGAGAGGGAGGAGGATGCTGAAGGAGTTTACAGATTCCTCCCACTGCACAGAAGTTTACCTCATTTACCTCTTATAACACGAACAGCTCGGTTGCGGAGAGGAGAATGTCTCGGAATTTAAGCACATTACTTAGTTTCCGAGGTTTTCCTTGGCACTTTCGCTTCACTACATCGCCCCACAGGTTGAGTTTCCAGGTTTCCAGCACCTGTTCTCTGGGGGAAGTTTTTGACCGCCCTCTCCTCCCCGATCCAGTGCGATGGGCTTGGGGGCTTCTCATCTTTGGGCAACACCTGTCCGGGGCTGGGGGTGAGGAGTGGTCCTGCTGGGCAGGTGGTGCCAGATTCCGTGGAGCCTTGCAGGAACGAAGGGTCCCCTCAAACGACGGAGACACGGCCTATTCCCAGTTACTCCCGAAATCCCCCACACCAAAACAATCGCCACAGCCACCATCACCGAGTCCCTGGGCCTCTGTGGACGGTAGATTGGGGTGGGGGCGATGAGGCACCTCGGAGCGCCCTCTGGCGAGCGCTGAGCACACGGGGCCCCCGCCCTTGCCCCCCGCCGCCGCCGCTGCGCCCCCACTCGGCTCTCGGGGTTCACTCTCGGTCTCTCACTCGGTGAGACACAGACGGCAGCTTTGCGACGAGCTGGGGACAGCCTGAGGTGAAGCAGGCACAACTGCTGCCACTCGCTCCGAAGAGACCCGGGCACGCCGAGACCAGGCGAAGCCTCTAGCTCCAGCCCCTCTCCCCGCAGGGACTCCTTGAGGCTGAGCGGCAGTTCCGCGCCCCCGCGCGACACCCGCACAGGCACTTGGCGGGGCGTGCCAGGACTTGGGGACGCGGCTCAGGCTGAGCTCGGGCGGGGAGGCGGCGGCAGCACCGGAGCGAGAGCTGCGCGCACTGGGACTGGAGAGTGAGTGGTGGGCTGGGCGGCGGCAGCCGTAGCTGCGGGTGCCTCCCCGCCTCGCCGCTTCGCAAAGGCAGCACCGCCTCCTGGGCCGGGACCTTTCGGCCGGGTCCTCTGCGCGTTCCCGGGCCCAGAGCTGGCGCACGATGCGCCCGGCTGCGTTCTGATTGCCACCGCGCCGCCGCCGCCTCCGCCGCGATGATCCCCCCCGAGCCGCCGCAGCAGCAGCTGCAGCCGCCGCCGCCAGCCCCGCCGAACCATGTGGTGACCACCATCGAGAACCTGCCGGCCGAGGGCAGCGGCGGCGGCGGGAGCCTGTCCGCGTCCTCCCGGGCCGGCGTGCGCCAGAGGATCCGCAAAGTGCTGAACAGGTGAGCGGCGGCGCCGGGCGAAGCGCGGGGGCCCGGGCTGTGGACACTCGGCCCCGGGGCTCCCTCCGTCCCTCGGACGGGCCCCCGGGTCCTTGGGGACTGGGTTGGGTTCTGGCGACGACGCGCCCCGCTCTAGCGGCGAGGCCGCGGCAGCTTTGTCCCGGCGCGGGGGATCCTTAGAGTGCGGAGCCTTCGGGCCGGTCTGTGGAGCGAGTTGGCGGAGAGGCGTGGATTTTTCGTCCCGGGCTGCCGGATGTGTGCCGGCACTCGCGCTCTCGCTTGCGCGTGTCGTTTCACTTCTCTTTTCCAGTCGTACCCCAGTTCTGCGCTCAGGGGTCGGAGGGGATCCGGGACCCCCGCGGGGAGGAGGCGGGAAGGCGCGGGGCTGTGCAGACGGGGTGTAAGTCTCGGCCTCTCGCTGCTGTCCGCCCCGCCCCGGCGTCTCCCAGCTCCGTGCTGGGGATGGGGTCGCGACGACGTCCTGGTGGTGGGAAGGGGATTCCACCTCACCTGCCTGGCGCCCCAGTAGCTGCCCCGACTCTGGAAGAGGCCGCTAAGGCCTGGACCAGATCCACACAAAGTGCGAAATGTTGCGGGAAGGAGGTGCCCGGCTATTCCGAAGCTGGCTAAAGCCAGGGGAAGACGGTCGCCGGGTCCCTGGCGCGCCTCCACTGCTGGAATTCGCGCGGTGGATTCGCTGAAAACCCGGGCATCTTAGAATGAGGCTCAGGGGTGCTGTGAAATGGGGTGGTTCGGGGTCTCTCTGGAGCCCCTTACTCGGTTGTGATGTCAAAGGGACCTTTTTCCATTCAAGTAACAGGAAATGATTGACGGTCCAGCACAAAGAAATCACCTAGCTAACGGGTAGTGTGTGTTGGTTCGGATGCGTGCGTGCTTTTCCATGCATTTGTAGGGGGTAGCTATAGATTCCGTTGTGGTACTTTTTGGTGTAGCTGAGATTCACCTAGCATCTAAAGCCCAAATGGAAACACAAGATGTATAAAAAAATAGAAGCTTGTAAACGTGTCGCTACTTAGGGAATATGGTTTAATTCTATTATATCAAATTCCAAACCATTCGGGAATTCCTTGTGACGATTTAATGTGCGTTTTGGCTGGTTTCTGTATGCTTCTGTTTATTATGGAGCAAGAAAAAATTCTCTGTGAAGAGAGACTTGAGTTGGTAATAGCAACTCAAGTCTTCCATTTGTAACTCAGAACAACTTCAAAAAATATGGTGCTTGCAATAGGCAGAATAATAATGAGAATGAAGCTCAGCATGTAATGTGCGGCTTTCCTGTTCTTCGTGAATATTTATGGGTTCTTTCTTTCTTTCTTTCTTTCTTTCTTTCTTTCTTTCTTTCTTTCTTTCTTTCTTTCTTTTTGGAATTGCAGATTCTATGGCATTGGCTGTTTAAATTTTTAAACTATATATATATTTTTCACTATTATTTTTCTTACAAACTAGAACAAAATCCTTAGTGTAACAGTACATTTACCTTTGCTTAGTTACCAGCCACTTTTTGATGTAATGAGGAACCTTTGCAGTAACAAGGTCGCCTAGTTGGGCATGAAGAGTGAGGTGTTCCCGGTCGCTCTGCCCCTGGGCAGCTCTGTGGCTGGCAGCAGGGCTCTGCATCTCCTTGGCTTGTGGTTCTTCATTTGTAAAACATGAATGTGCTGGTCCTACTCATATTACCTTGATTTCGAGAACTATGAAATACTGAAGAAAACACTACACAAGTTTACATATTCAACATATATCATTGCTTAAGGTGAGTATATAGGAGCAACATGGGCAAATAAAAAGTGAAGTCCTAAGGCATCATGGGTATAACTTCATGTTGTCCAAAGTCTTCTCTGGTTCGTGGCATGAGTTGTAATCTTCCTAACACATAGGGAGAAACCTGGATTCAGTGTGGGTCGATGACATTTTTCTTTCAAAGTTCGGCCACATTTTAACTGCTGTATTTTGTGTTGGCTGAATGGCTTTTTCTCTTAAGTAATGAGTGTGAAGAAGTTGAATCTTTGAAGAAGAATATCTTTGGTATGGAAAGAGAAAACATTGTGAATATTTAAAAAAATTTAATGCAATGATTTCTTTAGCATGCTAATGGGCTTGAACTTTGTGCCATGATTGTGTCAATAAGGTAGAGCATTGGTATTGGCTATTGAGCTATGGGGTTCTAGCTGGAAACACTTTCAGGGAGAATGGAATTGTAGAGATCCTGTGCTAGCGTGGTGTGAACACTCATGAAGTATTAGAGTAGTTAGTAAGAGTGGTTAGTAAGGTCTACAAGGCTGGCCCACTCGGGTCAGTTATAAGCTTTCTTGTTTTCTAGAAACTCTAGAGTTTCCATTTTTCTCCTTTTTTTGTCTATTTTCCTCCTGATATTTCCTTCTTCCCTGATTATTTCATTTTTTTCACCTGCAAAGCCCTGTCCAGTCATTGTCTTTGGTTGTTTTTATCCATCTGCCCCTAGGCTGTAGTAATATAATTCCTAGAAGAAAGTAGATTGCAAATCTAAGACCAAGGAGCCAAAATAAAAATGATCTCTCCAGCTTTTGGCATACTGATGTACAGAGCTGCTTGGGGTCTCTTCAGCGACTGCGTGGGGCATTGCAGCAGCTGTTAGCTTTCTGATAAGCCAAAGGGCGGTGCTGAGAGGCAGGATGGTGTGATGGGATCCGAAATATTAGACCTTGAGATGGGCAAGCCTGGTGAATTGCTTTCCTGTGGTCAGAGTTACCTGCCAACCCAGGAGAAATGCAAGCACGTATGCTACCTCTATCTTGTCTGCCTAGGGAGAGTTGAGTAGAAAAGTGCTGATTAATAATTAATTAAAGGTACTTTCTCTTAAGAAGCTGAGAATGAAAATGCAGTGTTACCTTAATGAAATCTGCATTCTATTATACTGCATAATTTGATTTTCTTGGTTTAGCCAAATGTCTGCTCCCTTTAAGAGATCCTGGGGTTGAGTTGTGGCATTTTTTTAATGCCAACTGGAGCATCTCATTGGCTGATTCCCTTTCTGTGATGCAATTGGATTAAAATATAATAATATCTGAAACGCTTGTGAAAGAGGAGAAGCTAGGTGATGTTTTAAATCAATTGATGAGACAGGTCACATTCTTCCCCTTGTCCTACTCAAGATGGTTTGGTGGGGTGGACCTTTAACCTAGCAGTTAAGTTGCCCTAGTTCCACTTGAGAGTACCTGGCTTTTGCTTCCATCTCCCATCCAATGCAGATCCTGAAAGGAAACGGTAATGGCTTGGTAACTGGATTTCTGCCACACAAACGGGTAATCTGGAGTATGTTCTCAGCTCCTGGTCCAGACCTGAACATGGTGGGCTTTTAGCAAGTGAACAGTAGATGGGAATGTTCTCTTTCTCTCGCTCTCTCAAATAAAAATTTTAAAATAATTCTTGGCAACAAGGCTGTCAGAAATACAAAATTTAAATGTGTGGTGATTACTACTTGTCTAATTTCCAAAGAAGTACAATAATGTATGACTCAAATAATGAAAAGGTATGACAAACTCTTCTTCACTTGTTTCTTTGAAATACTATTTATTATCCTGCCGTGGGCCAAGGTATATGACACAACAAATAATATTTAAACGACAACACTTAGTAACCCTTTCACGGAAATTGCTGACCAAGCATGATTTTTAGAAGTATATGGAAGTGGATATTGAAGCCAGTATTATGTCATAGTGGGTAAAGCTGTCAGCTGTGGTGCTGACATCCCAAGTGAGCACCAGTTGGTGTCTGGACTGTTTGACTTCCCATTCAGCTCCCTAGTAATGGCCAGGCAGGACAGCAGAAGTTGGTTCAAGTGTTCTAATCGTGGGAGATCCAGCTGAAGCTAGAGGTTGATGGCTTCCGCTCAGCAGAGCCATGACTGTTATAGCCATTTGAGAAGTGAGTCAATAGATAAAAAAAGGTTTATCTCTATGTCTCTACCTGTATCCAAATCTGACTTTTGTATAAATAAATGCATTTTGTGTAAGAAACATATCAGGGTGCATAAAATGTTTCTCCTTTAAAATGGTTAGTGAAATGTTTTTGAAAAATGAATGATAGCTTGTTTTGGGTTTTACATGTGTTTACTTGTTCCTATTTGAATATTATATTTCCAGCTCTTAGAGAAAAATAACTATAAATTGGGACTGACATTGTGGTATAATGTGTTAAACCTCTGGTGCTTGAATCCCATATTTGATTGTTGATCTGAATCCTGACTGCTCTGCTTCTGATCCAGTTTCCTGCTAATGAGCCTGGGTGACAGTAAAACATGGGTTAAAGACTTGGACCTCTACCATCTATGTAGAGACCAGCATGGAGCTCCTGAATTCCAGCTTCTGTCTGGACCTGGCAGTTGGGACCATTTGGGGATTGAAGCAGTGGATAGAAGATCGTCTTTTTCTGTGCTGCACTGTCAGTAACAAAAAAGGAAAATGAGTCTCTAGCTTCAAAAAATGTGTATATGGTGACCCTGAATTGTCCATTTATTTAATTTGACACTGATTTCCAACCTCCATTTTCTTTATTATTCTCAGGTTTCTGAAACTATTTGGAGTTGTAAACTAAGAATCATTAAGGATGAAACATAGGAACCCTGGTAGTTTACATTAGCACTGTGCTACTATGTAAGATGTCACAACGTATATGCATAGCCTGAGTCATCAAGAAAGATGGAAAGTACATTGTGAACCAGTTGAATGGCTGGCAAGAAATAGGGTTATGTCTCAACAGGGTATTATGTCAATTGATGAGAACGTATCATTTAAATGATCCTTTTCTAACAAGTAAGAAGCCTTCTATTAAGAAATTAATAGTGAGGCTCTTCTACTAGTTGCTCCTTCCAACAGATGTCAAAATGAAAAGAGGAGATCAGCTACTAATAAGGCTAATTGACACAAAATGCTCCAAATGAAAATGGGTGGTATAATTGAAAACAGACGTTTCTAGTAAATACAGGATGTCTGGAAGATTCA